CTCCAGCAGGAGGAGTCCGCGCGGTCCCACCGCCCGGCGGCTGTTCGAGTGAGCCACCAGGCATGTTTGCTAGGTTGCGGACGGCGCTAGGGTGCCGCTAGGGTGCCGTGTGCAACCTCCACGGCACGGCGGAACGCGTTCACACACGCTTCGCGCTCGCGGGGCGTCAGGTGTTTTTTGGTTCTGGCGGGGTTCTTCGGAGCGTTCGATGTGATTTTATTGGCTCGAGCGATTTTCCATCTGGAAGATCCTGGACACTTTTCGAAATTTTTTCCTATAGGAAATTTGACCGATTGGCACCCCTAACAGTGGATTCCACGGCAGCGGACAGTTCTGAGAGTGCAGGCACTAGTCTTGTGTAATGAAATACACGGAAGCCTATCCCAAACCCCTCCCATGCCGCAAACAACATGCCATGTCGAAATCGAACAACTCCGAAAGGTGGACCTTCTGGTTCCGGTGATGGAACGCCTGGCGACGTGGACGCGGCCGGTAGTGATGATCCCCGGCAACCATGACCAGGTCACCCTCGGCGGCGGGATGCACGCCCTTACCCCGCTGCAGTTCGCCTTCACCGATCCGATGCAGGTAGGTTAGCACAGCGGTTTTTGAGACCGGTCGGCGGTATCGAGGGGTGGCTCGGTCAGAAAGCCGATGGTCTTGGGAGTCGCGCTCATTCTCTAAGCTTGGACGAGGCTCATGCGTACCAGGCGGTACATGCCAACTGGTGCGAGAGCGCATCCAGATACCCTTGCGCGGGTTGAGGTGGCTGTGGATGGCCTGTGGCGGGGTACAGTAGGGCGGCAGTGTTTCAAATGAGCGCATGACGGTGCTCAGGGTTAGAGCACGCTGCACCGTCAACGAGATTTACTTGGACACAGTACCTCGAAGAAAAAACGCAAAAGATCCGCGTGGAATGCCTGCTGTCTCATGTTGGTTCCAGCCTGCGTACCATGCCTACAACTTGAACGTAGCCGATTCGAAGGTTGCTCCCGTTACTCCCGTTACTCCCATTCGTTGCTACGTGCTTTGATCGCGCGGGTTGTGTAGTCCCAACCACCTTCTTGCCGAAATCATTGCCCCCCCCCCCCCCTCTGTTGTTTCGTGTGGTTTCGCATCCATCGCACAGGCGCTGGTTCTGTCGGAGCCAACCCTCTTCCTCGGCGCTCTCTGGATACCCCACCGGAGAAACAACACCGAGATGGAAGGCCTCCTGGGTAGCGAGGAGGCCCGTGGCGCGAGGTGTGTTCCTCTCTTTTTTCTGTGTTTGAGCATCCTTGTGACCGCTATGCCGCCAAGGGGCACTACAATCGTGGCACCCATGTGCTACGTACTTACAGATTGTTGTCGGAGCGCGTTGTATGTGTATCTGTGTATCTGTGTGTGCTTTTCTTCCACACTGCTGCTGCTGCTGCTGCTGCTGCTGCTGCTGCTGCTGCTGCTGCTGCTGCAAGTTACCGCCTTCCAGAGGATTTGCGCGGTTGGACGAAAAAACAAACGGCGCCGTCCCAGAAAGCCATACCACTTGCCTCGGTACACCCCCAAGAAGACGAGACACCCGAGTACGTTCTGCCAAATACAGTATGCCTCCCTCGCGTGCAGGGCGATATTCTGCCACGTGGACATCAAGGGAGCGGCCATGAACGGCGACGTCTCGTCACACTCCGGCATTCCGAGGTCGGCCTTCCCGCCGAACGTGCCGGCGTTCTCGGGACACGTCCACAAGCCCCACACGCTCGGCGGGCGAGACGGCTTCATCCGCTACGTCGGCTCCCCGTACCAGGTGTGCGTGGGTGTGCCACCGCTGTATTGAGGCTCTACGTTAACTGTGGCATCCCGAGTCGCGTAACTTTGCTCTTCATTGAGGTCTTGTCATGCCGGTTGCTGATTCCTTAATATTTCGTGTGGAGGTCTGTTTCGTTTATTTTTTGGTTCGCACCATGACCTTTTTGCTGTCGCACCTCCGCCACCCCGTGGCACATGTAGGCTCAACGTTAAATGGCGCGTGAAGTGGGTGATGAGTGGTGCACGATGCTATATCATAGCGTATCATGACTCTTGTCACTCCACATTTCTTCCTATTTGGACGAACAGACCGCCCTGTCGGAGTCTGGGCAATCGAAGGCGCTCATCGTACTGGACGCCGAAACCTGGGAAGAGAAAGAGCTCGTCCCGCTCGACATTGGCAGGCGTTTTTTCAGGATCAAGGGGGAAGAGCAGCCACTCCCCAAGGTTGGCGAGGTGGGTGGCAGTACGACACAGCAGTTGTGGGTGTGCAGGTGGTGCGCAAGACGACTGATGATGTCGAGCTATGTACATAGGACGTAAGACTGCCCGGCGCGAGTTGGTATGTATTTGCAGCAGCGTGTTCCAGTCGTGGGTGCGTCCTTTTGGCAGCGGGAAAAGCTTTCGTGTTCGTGCTGCCTTTCGACAGAGTGTCCCCCCTCCCCGGTGCACCTACGCCTACTCCGTTCGCTCTCCCTACCCTTCACAAGCCCCTCTTGCGCGCTCTAAGCGTTGTTTACCCACGAATCATCCGCTTGGGGGTTGGCGCGCGTTCTCCACCTGGCCCCTCTTTCCGACCCCCCCCCAATCCGGTGTTCCCCTCTTTGCGCATTTCGCGGGAAAGGTCTCACCCGGCGACCGTGTGGTGTGGACTGTCAAGGACGCCGGTTCTGATGACGTCAGGCAGCGCGCGGGCGAGCTCATGAAGGTACAGCACTGCTGAAGTGTTGACACAAGTGGGCAAGATGTTGCAGCGACTTGGGAGCATATACATGTGCTTATTTTTGTATTTTCACGGACCATTCAGGACATGTCAATTGAAAGCGTGGCGACACGAAACAAAACCATCGTGTTCTTGTACCGAGGCTGTTTGAGGCTGCCTGTTAGTAGTTGCTGTAGGGCAGTGCTGCTGCTGTCGCCGCCGCTGCCGCCGCTGGTTCTTCACTTTGCCCAAACACACCCTCGCCACCGACCCGCAGAGGCCTTTCCTCGCTTATCGAAAAGGGCAACACGGCCACTGTACCCGCAACTCGTACACCGGTTCTTGCGCCCATCCAAATTAATTTAATGAAAATCGCGCCGCGTTTTTCAGGAGATGGTGGAGGTCGAGATCCGTGAGAAGCCTCGACCCTTCCCGCCGTTGAAACCGTTCCTCGGAGGAAACGGCGGAACGAGTGTCGGGCTTGCGGCCGGCGGGAACGGAACGACTGGCATGGCCGCTGCCGCGTTCGTCGCCGGTGCTGACGGCGCCAACAGCTTCCCGGTGGACTCGGCCGGTCTGTCGCCTGATGTGCTGTTCGGTGCCTACTTGGAGAGGGAGAGGGAGGGCGGCGGCAGAAACGTCTCGAAAGAGGCAAGTGTGTTGTTCCTTTGTTGTTTTTTTCACGGAAGTCGTGACGCGAGACGATCTGATCCAGTCTCATGGGTGCGACAGTCTGGTGGTGGTGCTGGAGTGTATGCCATGACAGAGGATGACAGAGGGTGACAGAGGATGACAGAGGGACGCTTGTAGAGGTCTTGTTGCCGAGCAAAGGTGCACAGCGGGAGGGGGAGAAGGAGAGAGAGAGAGAGAGAGAGAGAGAGAGAGGTCAAATGTGTCTCGAAATAACTTCACGATTTTGGACTAATGCGATGCAAGGTACATGCAACGGCACGCTTGCGTGGAAACGTAGATACGAGAGCAGGACCTAAGCACGCCATGCAGAGAAGAAACGATGAAACGATGAAACAGGAAAATATGGGCATGGTGAGGGTTTGAAGTAGTGCGGTTTGTTGTTCAGGATCTATGTCGATCAGGGGGCACTATCAAGGCAATAGTGATGGTAGGGAGCCCCAGTCCACCCTGGTGCGCTTGACGTTCATCGCAGGTCGACCGTTTGCTCTCGCTTCCTTGTTTGGTTGCCCCGTTAACCGTGGACAAAACGGCAGGTAGAAGAGTTGGGGTTCAGCCTCATCAAAGGCCTCGGGCAGCAGGCAGCATCGAAGGTGCGTAAAGTGCTCACACCCAAAGTCGTAATCTATTTGCTGTTGGAGGAGGGGTTGCATGAAGTTCGTTGGCAATTTCGAGCAAGTGATGGCTTTTTTCCAGCTCCCGGCCATTTTCCAAATCCGAAAGCAAGGAACCGCGCCACAATATATCAGAAACGTCTTAAGGAGTGTCAGCCACCGTAGCTTATTTACGGCCAACAACCAAGATTGCTCCTGCCGTGCTTTCGGACCATTGATTTGGATTATTTCAAGGCACATCTTCCCCATTGCTCAGCAAACGAAACTCATGGCGGTGCCGTTGTTTTTACGTTTTTTTTTTTTCTTGGACCCCAACTTTTAATCTGGAAGGAACGTGGGCAAGAGAATCGCCACACATCCCTGGCGCTGCACAGCATCCAGCTCAAGAACTTCGGGCCGTTCCGCGATGAGGTGTGCGATGATGACGCTGTGGAACAGGGAGGAAACGGCAGGCTAGTGGACTGACTTGCCGTGTAACATCCCGCCCCCGACGACAAAAACAGCACTACATGTTTATGTGAAGTGTGTCATCGTTTTTCGGCGCTGTGCTGTAGGGTTGGATCGACTCTCTTGCTCTCTCGACTGATGGGTTTCGTAGCGATTCACCTGCCTTGTTGAAACATCTCGGTCTGCCACATCTGGAAATTTCACGCTACATGCTTTGGAATGCTTTTGTGAAGTTGTTGCTTCTTGGGGGGTAGTGTTGGCCCTAGGGCGGTCCATCGCCGAATTCATCGCGGTGGCCTATTCAAAGCCAATACGTGGCCCTTTCCATTTGTTGTGACACCAAGTTACACTTCAAATCGTTGTTTCTAGAGCAACCCCCCCCCCCCCCCCCCCCCCCCCCCCCCCCCCCCCCCCCCCCCCCCCCCCCCCCC